ATATGGATCTTTTCCTTTCCCATGTTTAAGAGAGTTGCTTATTACCTAGAAAATCTCTGATAATCTATTGAGATCAAAAGAAAGCTTTGAAAATTTAAACAATATAAAATTGAACAGAAAAATTCCACTGCCTTTTAGGTCAACAACGCGAGGCAGACTGAAACCAAAATTAATGAGCATTCTAGCAATTTCCAACTTTTTTTTTACTACAGGTTTATACTGTTAACGGTTGTAAATATCGTTCATTTATTTGTAAAAAGAGGGAAGTTCGTTGATATACAGACCAACTTTAAACTTCATTTGGAAAGTGTCCAAAAGCAAAATAACATTATCCTTTTGTATGTAGTCTCTAGTGAAAACATGATGATGAAAGATTGAAAAGTTATATTAAAGTGTTTACAAGCAATTGCTATCAAAATATAAGTCAAGTAGTAAGAGGGGGTCATCCACTATATGAACGTATGTTGAAACGATTGAAATCATTTGTATTCTATGACAACTAATGTTGAGTAATTTCCTTCACAAACTATCTATATTCTTAACAGCTTCCTACTCAGAAGCTCATAAATTAGTTCATGAATCTGATAACTTTCATAGGCGAATCATTAAAGTATCCTCTTTGATTTGCTTTGTCAGCTGTACTTGTCTCTCTTCTGCATTGGTTTTTGGTTATGGGCTTCTTCATTACAACCAAAGTGAGCTGTCAAACTGTGAAGTGAATGATTTAACACGCATATATCATGTATCGATATTTTATAGCTTAATATATCAGATTTTATAAACTTATATTTGAACCCGCGACGACGACCTCGTTATGCGAATGCTTACAATGCCGCAATACCTCGAAGTGATGGAGTTCCTCCAAATGCCTATATGGTAATTGTTAGTCTAATATTACGCTAAACAAATGGAACAGACAAGTTTGAAATATGGCACATCATCACGCGATAGCTCTCTTCCGAAGCAGAATCCATTTTCATTCAATCCTAATCAGAGTAATCCTGTCAGTGAGTGTAAGGTTTGAATTAGTGTATGAAGAATATCTCAATAATCTCGTTTGCTCAATTAAGCCTTGCTGCATACCAGGACCACCTGGACCACCTGGTTTGAATGGTAGAAATGGGCACCCAGGGGAGTGTGGTTCAGCAGGTGAACCCGGTGTACCAGCTCCGATCGGTTTTATGCCTTGTCTCGAAGGTTCTCTATTCAGCTATGTTTGAAAAAAAATGAAAATCATGTAGAAACAATAGTGAAAGAGATGTGTTCTAAGTGCCCAAGTGGACCTCCTGGTCATTCTGGAGATCCTGGTCCTCCAGGCGATCCTGGAATTCCTGGTGAAGCAGGTTTGAGTGGAACTCCTGGATTAGATGGGGATTCGGGGCAACCTGGTTTGCTTTACAATTAACTGTTCAATAAAATCAAAATCAGGCCCTCCTGGTCCTCCGGGAGAAGAAGGAGAGCCTGGAGAACCTGGAGACCCCGGCGAGCCAGCGCTAAGACCTCCTGGTTTTCACATGGAAGTTGGAGATCCTGGACCTCCCGGAGTTACACGACTTATAATGACGTTGCCTTAAGCTTGTTATTTAGCCACCTGGACCTATCGGAGATACTGGCCCTTCTGGTCTTCCTTCGGACATGTTTATGCCTGAGCCAGGACCTAAAGGACTCAAAGGATTACCAGGTAGAACATAATTATATTCAATTCTCAGCATTAGTTATTGAAGGCGAGCCTGGGAAAGACGGAACAGCAGGCCAACCTGGACAGCCAGGTCTCCCAGGAATGCCGGGAGAACCGGGTATCTGTCCGACATATTGTGCAGTGGATGGTGGAGTGTTCCATGACTTGTCCATTGTAAGCAGTGGAAACTATATTCACGATGGTCATCGTCTTCATCATAATAGTCGCCGTTAACGAGAAAGGAAAAAAAAAGTTTTCTTTTTCAAGAATTGACATCGAAAAACTTGTTTTCCAAGTAATAAGTGGTCAGCGTCATAGCTTATCTCCAGGATATTGTAGAACAAATATAAAAAATAAAATACACAAAAGATAACTTCGAAGAACAAAAAAAAAAGAAAAAAAAGGGGATTTTTGTATTTTTGTTGTAAAGGATTTTCTCGGTCGACATAAAAGATTTTTCATTTCTTTGTCTTTTCAGGAGATCAAACAATGTTTTTTTTTGTTTCTTTTGAGCGATAACTAAGTAAACGATCACGTTTGTACTTCATAGGTCAATTCATAAGTAAACAGTGTAGTTTATGGTTGATTGACAAAAATAAAATATTTTTGTATTAGCTAACTATTATAGTCTGTTGTTTGAATGGCATCCATTTCATATTCTTTCCAAACTATATCTTATCATTTATTTCGAATTCTCAAATTGAATAGCGTTCAAAGAAAATAGAAGATGGACATCGGGAGAAGTGAAAGAGTGGACAAGATTCTTCAAGTACTTCTTGTTCACTCTTTGAGCTAAATCTTAACAAACATTCTTGGAATGAGAGGTAGGAAGGATGAGAAATTTCAAAAATGAGAAACGCTCTTAACGATTAGCCCTCCAATTAAGTGAATCTTAGACAGATCAAAAGGCTATTAAATAAACTCAATGAAAGGTTAGAGAGAGAGAGAGAGCAATGAAAGAGAAAAAGATACAGAATAAGAGATAGAGAAAGAGTTTCAGGAGCGGGCTAATGGCACTAAGGTAAACAACTGAAGAAGGATGTTGTACTCAATCATAGGAGAGAGCATTAAGTAAATGTGAGGATAAAAAAGAATACCCGTTGCAATGAAAGTAACAAAAATAAAACTATAAAATAGAATATAAAAGAATATTTTGCACGAAAACAGAGTTATTGAATGACACAAGATGGCTGAGACGACAATATGAATGAAAAAAGCTGTCAATGGCTGTATTATCACCGGTTAATGAAAATATATTATATGGCTGGGTTATAAGCATGTAAGGTTGGTCCTTTTATAGTAGAAATTTGGGCGGTTTGTTTTCGTGATTGTTTACGACGATAACAAATATATGCTGAGAGTAATGATAAATTTAAACCAACACATACAACGGCTATAACTATTGCTAAGCCTACGGCCCATACGGGAGCTAATGAATGAGGCTCTCCATAAGGACGATTGGTTGAGAATTCAGCATTAAACTGTAAATCTGGACGATAAGTTGTAGACGAGCCAGAAATCTCTGCAGATGAGTCTGCTAACGAGTCATTCAAATTCAGATGAATAGATTGAGGAGCAACCTGGAAACAAGAAAAATAATAATTTTTATAAATGCAGCAATTTTCTTGACCAAACAACTATAATATCGTTCTGAAGCTTAAAAGGAGCCTATATCATAAAATATTAATGAGTAACTCTCTTTGTTATTCCTCTATCCATTATACAAACCGACCATTTATGGGGGAACACCTGAACTGGTGGGATCAGTCATGACCGGTGTCGAATGGCATTCGAAACATAATGAGAATATATTTAGTTGAAATAATACAAATAGCCCAATGACATAGTCTATTTGAAACCTATGATGCGACTATCTATACGATAATCGAAAAACACAACCGCTTCTAGCTCTCACACTTCGAGAAATGATTGCACAGAAAATGAATTACGTGAGAATTGGTTGGTGTACTTTAACATTCAATGATTAATTGGAGTACTCTTTCCCATATTATATCGGAATTCAACAAACTTATGTCTTGAGTTTGACCCCACAATGTCATTGGAGCATGTTATGAAAGTATACCAAAGGATTATCTTATTTGACTACATAAGTTGTTTGATTGATTGAAGAGCTCTTTTCCAAAGAAAATGATATAACTCGTATTGTTCTACATATCTACTCTGGCAGTCAAGCGTATAAACAGCTTCTATTGCCATGACGACCTTTCACTGTCTGCCTAATAGGAAGACATTTCGAAATCTCATGCAGGTGCCACTTGTCAAGAGTTCTTGAGCTTAAACATATTTCGAGTTGAATTAGACTGGTTTGCAAAAATCAATACTTCATATAATATATGCCTACTCCCTATCATCGTAGCTCAACCGTATGTATATCCTGGGAGAGCAAGCACCTGATGGTCACATATACACGAGGAAAAACGGATGGCTAGACGACAGAGCGAAAACAAATAGATGTTTGCCGATGTGCAAAACCAGTATTCATGAAGCTTAAGCTACAGAAGATATTATTATGCACAAAGGTATTTTGACCTTATTTGCATATTCTTTATCACGTGTATTGAGAAGGGTTACGTTCAAAAACTAATATTCGATTCATCTTCCCGCAACATCTTTTCACGAATAATGCAAATTAAAACTTACAGTCGTTGATTGGTTTCGGGCTAGTGTGACGGATATCAAGCCTTCAGCATCATCCACCTTATCAGTGAGACCACATGTAATTTCCCCTGCTCGTGAATGACGACATCCGACTAACAAGCAGTTGGGCTCTTCATCGGCTCTAGCAGAAAATATACCGGTGAAAGTAACACCATCACAATCTGCAAAATGAAATATGTCGACGAAAAAGGAAATGTAAAAAGCATGTTACAGAACTAGAATGGTTCTTGTTTAGATCTGATCGTAGAAGCTTATAATATCATTAAGATAGGTTAGTTGTTTGATACGATTTTTAAGGGTCAACAAATTGTTCCGTTTATTGAAAGCAAGAGAGAGAAAGACAATGAAGGAGAGGATAGAGGAAGGATTCTTGTGGTGTTGAAATAAATTCCGTATGACAGATTACATTTTGGTCATTTCAACTCATCAGCGCAAGATTTTCTAGACCATGAATGAATACAATCGTAATTGATCTTCAATGGACAGCATGTATAATTCGAGAGAAGATATAGATGATAACTATATAAGGTCATATGGATATTAAAACATAATTATTAAGACATGAGATGATTGCACCAAAAGTTTGTCGAAAGTAAACGTTGTCATAGAGATATAAAGGAGAATCCCAACGGTTTTGAATTAAAATGAAAACAATCTTCAAAGTAAAGATTGAAAATAAGCTGCCACAAACTTTTCGAAAAGAAAGCAACAAGGGGTGTTCATAACAATCAATACAATAGTTTGTATCAAAATGTAGGAATCTCGCGCAAAAATTGCTCGTAAGACATGTACGAAAAAAAAAAACAAAAAAATTTCCGACACGGACATCCGCTTCTTTACGAGTTGGAAATCTGAGAAGTCAAACGATCTCGATGTACGAATGAAAGTAACATTTATGAGAAACAAAATGAAAACTCACTTAAAATTCCGCAACATATTTCAATACACTGTTTCAAATCAGTTGTGACTTGTGAAGATATAGCATAGGAGCCTAGTCCAAATCTTTGTTGCTCATACACGCTCAAACGACCGCAAAACACATCGACAGCAAGAGTGCTGGGCAATAATGACAGAATGAATAAGAATACCTTTAGGAATTTCATAGATTGCATGAATATTTGAATAATAACAATCATTTAAGCATTTGTAGAAAAAATGACAATGAAAGAGTTGAGTTGATCTTCTGTCTGATCAATGAAGCTCCACCTCTTCTTCTCGTTTATCCTTCTAGATGCGGTCGTCGATGTTGTCGTCAAGAACACATAGACAGATTGACGAATGCTTAGAGAGGGACAGAAAATGACAGAGAGGAAGGTATGCTAGTGAAAGACGAATGAGAATTGATGAATATAGACGAATACATGAGAGAGTGTAGAGAGAGAAAAGAAAAAGGAAACGTTTATTCATGGGAGTAGGCAGAGAGATGCATAGACGAACATAGCAGTAAGCTCCGCCTATTTTAGTTGAGATAAATCCGAATAAAGTAAGCACACAAAGCTTACTCTTAAAGAATAGAGAAGTTACATAAAAGACGAAACGGTTTGAAAACCTCTAATGATTGAACGATTTTCTAGTTTACGAAAAAGAAAAAACGTTGGTCGCTCAAGTTATTAACATGAAATGAAAGATTAAGAAAGGAATCTAGTTCGTTTTTTTGTGAAAGAAGCTTAACTATGAAATCTTATAAGGTTTTATTCAATATTTACATCTTTTCTTTCTTCAAATTTTGTGGGAATCCATAAAATTGCAAAAACCTATTTAGTATAATGGAGTATAATGGATATATACTAGATATGTTGTGAGGAATTTGCATATTTGCTCGAGAATCTGAATGGCTTTGAGTCAGAGGAGACACAGGATTAATTAATACTTTGTTGGATATTTTACTCGCAATAGATATCTTAAAATATTTTGACCGCCGTCCAAATCGAGAATCTGAAAAACTTGCTCTGATCACAAAAATCGTCTGACAATGTAAATCTACTTGTAGGCGACATTCCAACGTCTAAGCATGTTCTGAATCGACAGAATTTACAAGACGTGCGATTAGAGCCCTTCAAAGTTACATATAGATTACAAACAGATTGTTAAGTATTACCTTTACATCACATTGCCCGTTGTTTTTGCACTCAAACTTCTCGCTGGCTTTTTTCATTGTCGTTCTACCAAAGAAGGACTGTAATAAATCAAATCATGCAACAACGGATTAGTCATTTGATAATTTATCTCCTCTGTTTTCATAATTTGTAATAGCCAATTATTTTTTTGTCGAAATATAAATTGTCAAGTGACCAGTTCTTACTAATTTGCATATGAAACGAAAACTGTTACATCACTTTATCCATATCAGACAAAACCAATTAAAACTCGTATAAAACTGCGATGATGTAAAATAAACGAACTTTACATCCTTCACATGTGAAGGCTCCAAAATGAAAACCTCTGGCTGGTTCGTCACAAACGGCACATTTGAAAGGAGCCTAGAAGTTTATAAAAACGTTAATTTATTAATCAAAAATATAAGAGATCCTACCGGCTCAATTTCTGGAGGCTTTTGATCAGTTGTCATAACTATGCCAACTTTAGAACGACCGATCACGAAATTGAAATTTTCAATAAGTGATCATGTTCTTATTCTATCTATACATCTGATAATCTTCTGGCTCATTAAACACTAAAGAATACCGTATACCCGTTATGCCATAGATAATAGACAAATCAGTTACAAGAAATTCTATTGAACACATCCAATGTGGGATCATTACAGCCTGACTTGGCATTTCTAGAAATTTCTTCATACAGTTATACTGCTATTATTCAAAATCTAGTAAAAAACAAAATTATGATTGTTCACCCATCATACAACCGCTCGGCGTTACTGTCTATTTCAAAATGAACTTTCAAAAAATAATTGGCGTTAGAGCGCATTCTATGAAAATATGCTAATTTATATTGTATGAATAGATTTATCCTGTATCTGGTTGTTATATGTATATATATTTTCCAAATTTTTGAACATTTCTTTCTTCGAAATGCCCATTAATTCACAGCAGGAGAATCATCTATGTACAATCAATCCACTGGGAATGTAGCTGATATTCATAGTTGTGAAAAATGTAAATTTTTCTTTGATCAGAAAACCAAAATTGTAGCTGACCACAGCTCGTTCGCATAGAAAACAGTTGACGCTGAGAAGAATGTAGAAAAGGGGAAGATGTGGGATGAATGGTGAAGGCAGTGTTAAAACGACGATTAAACGAACCGTATGAATACTTGCAAGTTAAAAAACAAAAACCCTGTCTTAAGAGAACAATTGAAATACAAGGACAGCAACCGTTGGATGGAATTTTCGTCTTAATCTTTTTATTAGTTTCCTGTCTCTAATTATTAACTTTTTTATGAGCGAGTCTAAGAACGTTCCAGGATGCGATTTAGAAATATAAAACATAAGTGCCATTAGATATCGTTGTCTTTATCATATGATTTCTTGACGATTTCATAGTTTATACTTCGAGACTGCTTGAAAACGTGATAAAATTCTTTATCGGAATTTACTATTAATAATTATGTTCATATGTTTGAGGATAGTTAAACACATCCTTGTACTCCCCAGTCTGTAACGTCTTTGTTGAAGTAGTGAGTATGATCGGTAACTGAGGTATCAATCTTTCCGTCGGAGCAGAATAAATCCTCATCAGTACGACAGACAACGTAAGTAGCAGTAGTCATATCGTTGTTATAGAATACCTGCAGTTGACGATTAACTCTGTTCAAAAAATCAATTGTACTTCACTGTGGTGATGATGGTATTGCTCTACATGGTTGGGTGGAAGATGGGGGACAACATCTTTAGCGTGAATTAGACGGAAGGAGTAGGCTATCTAAATTAAATTTGAGCAACAGTTTTCAACAATTTCCGTTACCTCTTTGTCAAAAGTGTCAGTGAAAGTACGATCACCAGTACGTGGTTGGCCAAAAGTAACAAGGCGAACATTGTCTCCGACAGCTAGCTGAGTGTGTACAATGTAGCTAGCAGCAAGAGAAGCCATAGCTCCACCAAGAGAGTGTCCAGCAATCTGAGGAGTAGATTGTATGACGGTCAAATATAGGAAGATAGTCTACCCATAATTGATAGTCTGGGTACTTGTTCTTGAGAGACAAATAATCTTCCTTAAGTCCATGATTCCACAAAGTGAAGAAGCCGTCGCTGAAGTATTTTGAAACTGTTCCACCGGCTACCCAGGCAGTCTGAAGTATCAATTTCATAACATTCTATGCAGCCCTAGAGTACATGGTTAGCGAAAATAGTTTCTTCAGATTCGAGAATAAGTTGTGCTGCGCCTTGAGTTCCCCTTAAAGTAATCATGTGTAATTCTTGTTGGAAGAGACTAACTTGAAAGCCAAAACGATAGCTTTGTCGTCATGAAGAACGGCAGAGTATGCAATACAGTGATCTAAAAGGTATTTTGAGCAGAAAACCTTATGGCGTCTTTTGAGCTGAAAACGAACAGTTATATACCCTAGTTCATTACGTTTTGGCTCACTTCAGCATTAGTGAATCTGTTGTTCAAACATACTGCAGGATTATCATTTTCAGTAGCAGAACAAATAGGTAAAATCTTATTCCTGGCGAAGCTGTCATCATATTCAACCTTCGCGTCATGATCGAAAGGCATGGCTGCGGCTAAAGCCACAAGTAGAAGTAATCCAAGAATAGACTTCATCTGAAACAAAAAATGAGAAAAAGAACTCTCCTACTTCAGAAAAACTAAAGGAAATGGCTCACATTTATTAAAAACTTCGATAAAATGATAACAGATTTTATGGCTCTTTTCCATTCAAGGTCCGCCTCTTAATTGATCAATTGAAGAAAACATTATTCAACAGGTTTATGGATCTTTTCATTTTCAGCTTTCTTCTTCACACAAAAGTATTCAGCAAAGTAATGAGGAAAGCATTTTCTGGTTAATTTCTCTATATTAATGATATCGGACGAGGTTGCAATATCAATGGCTGTAGATGAGCTCTTACAATTCTTCATATATTTATGAGCTTGTCGGAAATGTTTCGTCACCTGAAATAACAAGGTTTGAGAGAGAACACCTGTATTGCAGTTACATTGAAACGGATGTAATCTCGAAAACGGCATTCACTGCATTTGTACAGCGGCTTCTGGTAATGTTGGCGAGCATGTTCAGAGAATCTTGCATAGCAAGTTTTATGACTAAATGACAATCGTTTCTCACAGTTCTGAAAACAAAACTAGAAGAAATTAAAAACTGAACCTACAGACCTTACGGTAGCAGAAAGCAGTGTGGCGCTGAGAGAATTTTTTGAAGTAATCCTCTTGCACCCATAACTTTTTTCTTCTTTTAGGTTTTAAAAAGTCGCTGTCAGAGTCTTCGTCATCCGAGTTTTTCACGAAACTTTCATGATATTGCGGTACAGTTGTTCTGAAAACGAGTTTCTCATTAGTGAATCATGATCTAAAAAAATACGTATTTGCAGCATTACTATTACTGTTTTCATCAGGGAAGTATTCCTCAAGCGTAGAACCAACAGAAGCTTGATTTTCGACTCTGTTATAGATTTCAGCTCCGTCTTTAACGTTAGGAATCGAGAGGGAAACCTCTTCTAGGGACGCAGCTCCCAAATCATCTTCTTTCAAACGTTCAAAAACCTGTGAACAACTCATGATCATATCAAAAGTTTCTGAATCACCGAAGAGAATCCTGTGATTTGAAAAAGACTGTAAAATAATTGAAATAAGCATGATATCTAATAACAAACCTATTATTGGTGCAGATTTCGTTATACGTTATGTCCTCTCTTTAATGAAAAAGTAGAGTAAAGATATGTATGACTTAACGTCACCTTGGAGAGCTTACGGCTGAAGCAAAGCTACAATATTCTGACTTTTCTAGGTCATTCAACTGATATTCATCTTCGGACACCATTTGCAAAATATCTTCCATGCAATTTAGAACTTCTGACAGATTAAAACAGAGCTTGAAACACAAAAAATGCATTAAACCTTCATCCACAAGACTGAAGATCTGAGATTGCTGAGTGTATAATTGTTCACTTATTTTAAGAGTTTCAACTTTTGGCTGAAGTTCAGAGTTCCAACATCCCTCATAGAGGAACTCAGGTAACCTGTAATCCGAAACTGATGGGGAGTTGCAGGCTGGAAAGTACGTTTGAGAGAAAATATTTTCAGCTTACTTTGATCTATCTGAGGTAAGTAATCCGGAATAGGAGTAGATGTTCGAAAACAACTTACAACTGTATCTTCCCTTAAAAACCAAAGGTATTGAGAAATAAAAATTATTTCACACCTCATAGGGACAGGAAGATCATCCATACAGGTCATATCTTGCATGAAGAAGTGGTTTATACCAATTGTACTCTAGAGAACTAGGTGAATTTTAAATTATGAGATGGCATACGAGAGAATGGCCAAGATCAATGTGCATTTCTTCTATTATAAATCGTATTGACACTCCGTAAATGTTAATTTGTATGTAAGAAGATTTCAAACTTTGCTGGCCTGTAAATGAACATTGTAATACAGAGAGGGACCAACTGCATACCCAAGTTTGGAATAGGAACTCTCATTATAACCAAACGATTCAAACCCAGTTCTTCCTCAAAGACAAACGAAACTAATCGAAAGCTATGAACAATTTACCAATAATACTGATAGGTCAAATATATTTACTTCCCCGACCGCCTCATTGATATTAATTTGAATCCAATCGTTAGCGTACATTCTGCAGAAAGATATTATGAATAATCAAAAAAAACATGAGACTAAGATATTCAGTAGAAACAGAATTGTGAAGAATTGAAGAAAAACTGAACGATCAAAAGAATTTATTTGGAAAGCATTTGATGGTTAGCTCTCGCATTCTCCTCCTGTTTGATCGTTTGAGCAGAGCTTCTATACAGTTCCTATCGAATTCATGAAAAGCTCGTAGATGCTCCCTGATCTGCAGGAAAAAAAAAACTATGAAAAATTATTATGACCAACATTAATAAAAGATTTCTCGGAAGAAGGACAGTTTGCAGTTGGACATGGAACTGCATCCTCTACATGATCTTCGACGTGTTCAAGCAGTGCTTTCCTTAACTCGCTCCTAGGACTTGATACTATATGATGACAACCCTAGAAGAGTGATTGCAGTTAAGTACAATGGTCAAAAGTTACCATGAAGTTGCATTGAGTTACTACCACCTTTGCTCCTTTTACTTCGAGGTTTTTGCCCCTGCTGACACGTCTTCGGATGAAAACTTCGTCGTATCTTGAAAATGTTGAATTGTAGATACGCTTAATACAACTAACGATTTATTCGAATCTTCGAACGTTTCACTGTTCTCCGTCGGTGCTTGACGCTTCATTGTCCTGCTGGCACTGCTCGTTCCGGAGTAGCTGATAATCAAGTTCAAACAATTCGTGGAAACGGTAGAAACGCACCGATTGGAAAACTCATGCGGGTGACGGGGAAAGCTACTTTGCGGAGTTCTCATATTTCCACTGTATTCAGACTCTAAGCCTCTAGTAGAACAGTGTGACTCATCAGCTAGATGAGCAGAAAACAATGGCTTCATTTGCTTACTTAAATTGATAAGTAAGAATTAGACAACAACTTTTTCTCTGTAGAACCGTGTAGGATCGTGTTCATACGCCAAACCGTTCGCGAATCTTTCATAAGGGAAAGGTTCGTCCAGGCCCTTCATCTGTGGAAGTACAACAGGGGATCCATTCGAGAAAGACCTGCAACCGCTAAGATAAAAAATGTTGCCGTAATTGAAAACCTTGAGAGGTCCGCTTTTTCTTTTTTCATCTGGAAGTTCTCCAACACCTAGAAATAGTTAGTAACAGTTTAAAACATCTAAGAGCCACCGAAGTAAATCCTGTCATCTGGAGAAGACTGCAAATTGGTCAATTATATGAAAGCGCAAATGACCAATAATTACTAACCTATTGTTTTCTGAGTAATTCTTCGCCACTTGAACACTCCTGAAAAAGGTTTTAATGTAGAAGATATTATTTAGAAGTACCGAGAAGAGTTTCCAAAAGAAAAATAGCCCGACAGATTCAGGTCGTCCAGACTTCTGAATGAAGAATTCTCTCGCTGAGAAAGAACATCAAGCATGTGCTCACAGCACTGGTTAACTTCTGGATTGAATAATCTGTGATGAACAATACTCTTCTACTTACCTTGTAGATCTTCTGGGGAAAGTTGATTTTTTGAATTCAAGCATTCTTGAGTATGTGTCAGCTGAACGCTTGCCAAATTTTCATCTGGTTCGCCATCCGAACAATCATGGAGCTTGGAAACTTCAATATGGTTTTCAAAATTTTAAAAGGTATATAGGTACTGGAATCCGAAGACCGTAAACATTCTGGTATAGGGGTAGATGTCCGGAAGCGATACGCAGGTGATGCTTGCACACATTTTTGGTATGGATCTGTAAGTTTGAAATTTAGAAAATTGGCTACGGGTTGAATGGAATCCTCTCACTATTAACGGAAAATGCTGATTGAAGCTGCAAATCGACGATGAGCTGAAAAGTTATTCCAGGTCAATTGAAAAACAAAATATTGTTACATTATCTGTTTTCACAACAGGAACATCCTTCATAGTGTGATGAATACCTATGGAACTCTTCAAAAAATTATTTAAAATTGGAATTAGAAAACTAAGCACCAAAACTCTAGATATGTCTATTCCTTGTTCACGATACTTATCATAAGACAAGTCATATATGTTCAATTGAGCTTCAACGTTCTTCATATGTGAAACACACATACATCCTGAAAATTCACATTTACAACGCATTACAAATCGAGAAAACCTTCGTAACATGTCTCTGGTTTAGAAGACACAATGAAAAAAACCGCTTTGATAACACCGAGCCCTTCCTAAATTTTGACAGCTGACAAACGAGTTCTAGCCATGACCTACCAAAAACTGCGAGACATTCCAACACCGAAGTTGTTCCTCGGAGCAATATAAATTTATTTGAAGGAAATATTCTAATTCCTGTTCGTAACAACTAATTTCGTCCGGTTTCATTGAATCTCAGTTCGGACTCAACAGAAAAAAGGTCAGGACGCAAGAAGAGCTTGTTCGAATTTGCATTTCCAGTTGAGACCATTTCATAGCATACATATCACGTGAGCTCTGATTAGCATATTTTGTCAAACACGTGTTAATAGTACTTATTTACTTTTCCCACGTATTTTCAACGGAAAAGGAGAGTCATCTAGTTTTTCTGCAGAAGATGCAGTTGAAACAGCCGATGACAGCGTTCGAGTTTGAAGGAATTAATTAATTTATTGCGGGATGCACTCAAATGGAACTTCCCCTGTTCTCACTTTCGGATTGATAACAAAGACTGAATTCAAATCTAATTTATTACATGAAGTGAGAAGGAAGAAAACTATTAATCAGTGGAATCATGATATACAACCTACAAATGTGTTTTGATTAAAAAAAGATGAAATCATTGAAGAAAGAAGCTGAAACCCAACGACGTCATCAACAAACTAATTTTTACTTTTCAAACCTGTTCAACATACTTTATGAAAAAAACACGCATTGTTTTGGAGTTTCTTAAAACATCCGCGAGAGGGAAGTACTGTTGTGAACATTTAAGTCAGTCTTACCAATTTTTCTCCGATCGGCACGTCCGATCGTGACGCAATCATTTTTTTAAAAGTGTTGTAGTTTGTGGAGTAGTTTTAGATTGTGTTCTGTTATGTTCCATCATAAAGCTCTCGCTATTTCTCGATTCGTTAGGAACAGTTCACAAATGTCTGCCGAACAAAAGTTTATAGTTTAACTTTCTCATTGAACGAAATGAAGGACATATAAGGTCACATTAGCTGGCATTAACTTATAATTCACTTTTCTTATGAAGTTGTTCCTTTCCGGCTTCTGAAGATACTGTTATGCTCTGAACGTATTTTCTGTGATATTATCATTAGAAAGAACAACCCGCCGAACTCCATCTAACAGCTTTACAACATACGTAAAGACCAAATATCGGGAAATTCACTATGATTTAAGCTTTTATTAGGTCCTTTCCCGTTTGCTATTACCGCGTTCTTCTAGTGGGGACATCAGTGACCTTCACACCATGCATAAGAAATGCCTCCGCCTTTTTCTGTAACTTTTCATTGATCATTCTCCGGCTTTCTCTTTTCACCTGACTGTTGTCTTCTCGAGATTATATGGAAAATTAGTTTGTTTCCAAACAATTCATATTGGAAAGTTTCATTCGTGTGATTTGAGTTGTTTTAATACCTTTCTTCTCTTTCTTTTTTTATTCTTTAACAAATAACCGTTTGCCAAATAAATAAGAAAGAAGAAAAACTTTATTGAAAAACGACATGTAATGCTGATCAATTCCTTTGTCATCTGAATTCTCCACTCATTTATTCTCGTATATTCAGTTTCTATTGGCTCTTATTATCACCAAGTGTTCGTCTGTTTTCCTCAATCGTTTTCTTCCGAACTCTCATTTACTGTTCCGAATACCAGTACAGGCCTCATAACAAAGTTATTGCTAACTTCCTCTGATAGATAATTTAAATTGTAAGGACAATCTTGCAAACTAAAAAAGAAAAATATTTTCAATTGTCTTGAAGAATCCACTCTGTGATTTGTCGAAGAAACACTCAAGAGTCATTGACCACAAAAAAAGTTTTCTTTTTGTCATTAAGTTTGCCGTTGGTGGACAGTTGGCCATTAAAGTATACTGTTTACATTGAGCTTTTTACTTAATATTGCACCAGTTTTGTCTCATTGCCAAAAAGACATTCAATTGAAGCTAACATACAATGGTGTAATCAAAAAACTGTCTCATTCCAGTTGAAGCAATGACATCATTTAAGCATATGAATGATGTCATAAGTTTGATGACACTGACCATATTAAGGCTATAAGGTAGAAGGTTGAAAATCGGAACGTGTTGTTGATGATTTCGAAAACTTCGACACTATTTATTTCTGCTCTATTCATCATATCAACTTCTTTCTCTCTCTAGTTTTCTCGGCTAATATTCTCATTTTATCTTTTCAGTTCAACAACGCAAGCTTTGCCACTTTGCATCTGTTGGTTCAAGGTTTCTCATGCGAGTCACACCAACCAAGGCATCTTATGATGTCCACGCTCAAGATGATGATCCTCAGAGTAAGTTCAAGTCTTCAAGCTTATTCAATAAAGGTTCAATTAAGCAAATGAGGAGGAGCATACACTTTTGATCAAAATGATAACAAAAATGTATCGGAAGTGGGCTACGTTTGTTTCGAAGCATACTATTATAATCATTGTTCTCTGTACAGTTGCAACATTAATAGGCACAGCTAAGCTTGTAACTACTCCGTAAGTTTAAAAAAAAATTCAAAAAATATGAAGCCCACGGCCGGGATCGAACCGACAATCTTCTGATTAGAAGTCAGACGCCTTATCCATTAGGCCACGCGGGCTCAAACGTCATGCCTATTTTGAAAAATAATTCTTTTGCAGTTCATTCAAGTTGTTTTAGAAATGAGAATGACATAACTGGCTACACACCATATGGAGCTCGTGCAAGAGATGAGTTCAACGTTGCTGGCGAGTTCTTCTCTAAAAACGGCAATGGAATCGCATTATTGGCGTTGGTGTTACCCAAACATGGAAAAAACGCGTTACAACCAGAAATACTTAAGGAGGCATTACGAGTAAAGTTGAAAACAGAAACTAATGTTATGAGAACGATTTTCAGATTGAATCAATTCTGACAACAAATTTCACCATGTTGAATAAGGTGAAAAACAAAACAGAAAACTACAGGGAGTTCTGCTACTCGTTTTGCCAGATAAATGAACCTTTCGCCATGTTTGTGGTATGTTAAGATTAATTGGGAAATCAAAACAATCGGAACAACAGTAGTCCAGCTAAACAGTATTATGCTAATTTCACAATATGCCAGCGGTTGTCCGCAGGCGCCATTCATTTTTTTTTAGAAAAAAAAAATTTGAGCGGTTGTTTTGTATTTCATGAGAACTTTTTCATTCATCCTGAACTTTCTTTTGTAGGAAGGCTATCTTCTTCAACAAAGCTTGAAAGACAGCGGACAGCCTCTGAATACGCGCCTTATCTTGAACTATCCTACTAGTTCTGTATACGATCGCGAAATTAATATACAAGTGAGTTATTATTCAAATTTTATGTTACTTAGGGCTTGTAAACACATGTTGTAAAGAGTACCGGTGAATAATAATGATATCCTATTCGATCAGCACACCTGCGAACCAATTGAATGGAAACTTCTTATGATGAATTATATTTCATGAGTTAAATTCTTTCAGCAAAGCTTCTTTGGCATAGTTATTGAAGATGAACAACGTGTGTCTAATCAGACAACAACAACAACAGCGGTGGCAGAATCCAGAATCACAAATATGGAGAGTGCAAGGGTGATCTCAAATTTTTTGTTCTTACATAATTAATTGGATTATTTCAGTTGTTTGCCCTGCAATTAAGAGCTGAGCGTAAAGAGGGATGGACAACTCAAGAAGTCAAAGATTACGAAATGGAAATTGCAAACTATTTTGAAAAGTAAGTGTCAGTATAGTTCTATAACTAAAAATTATTATAGGAGATTTGTATCAGATCACGTTCGTGTTCTCACATTGTCTACTTCATATGTAGAATCTGAGGTTGTGAGAGCTGGTATGAGCCTGATGCCGTTCCTAATAGTTGGTTTCGTCATCATGGCTTTCATATCGAGCTTGAGTACCTTACTCTCAGCATTGTATATGAATCAAGTCAGCATCCATAAAGTATGATAAGCTTATAAAACGAACTTCTTTACGTATACTTAAGGTTTCCTTGGCTATATTAGCTTGTATCTGCCCATTCATGGCTTGTGGTACTGGATTAGGCTTACTATTCGCCATTGGAGTACGCTTCGGATCTATTCTCTATGTCACACCATTCCTTGTCTTGGCTATTGGTGTTGATGATGCTTACCTCATGATTCACGCATGGCAGCGAGTAACGAGGAAGTTAAGACAGAACCCACATCCTGATGACTCTCCAGCATTCAGACTTGCTGAGGTTACTTCGATATTGTGAAAATCTATTCTTAACAACTTTTTCAGGTGCTCGCAGATACTGGGCCAGCAATCATTATATCTGCGTTGACAAATATCTTGGCAGATACTGTGGGAACATACACAGGCTCTCCTGAAATCACCTTATTAGCTTACGGGAATATGATATGCATCTTTGTAGACTTCATTTATCAAGTTTGTAATAGCCCATCGCACAATCATTACTCTTCATCTTAAGATAACATTCTACTCTGCCGTCATGATCATAGTTGGTGAGTTTGAGATGGAATCAGAACGACAACAGAATTTCACTCAAAGAATTTGTTGTGGAGGTGAAGAAGTTGATAGCGTATCATCGGGTAGTGAAACAGTGAGTTGTAAACATGTAAATAAATGTATAACATGTAACTTGTTTCAGAAGCCATCTTTCCATGACAATGTGAAAGCAAAGATGATGTCATTTTTAGAATTTTATTTGAACCTTGTAACAAACAAAGTGTTCGATCTGTTAGTCATTACTTTATGGGGAATTGGCTTGGGATTCACAATTTACGTAAGAACAGTCATCTTCTGGCACTCTTCTGAGATAGCATGTGTTTTCAGGGTATTACACAGATGCCAATCAATCTAACTCCGAAAAAGTTATTTGCTAAAGATTCAACTTTATTGGAGGTATGCGAAAGAATTAATTTCAAAATCATCCAATCTCCTGCTGTTTTAAGATGGACGATATGAGGGTCGACTATGTCATTCCCCATTACACACTTGCGACAATTTTCATAAATAATCCCGGCAATCTATCAAACCCTGACAGGCTTCAGAGGTGATCCGGCATGAAATAGCTGTTTTTGATCTGTGAAATTCGATTACAGGCTTGACAACTTTGTTCTTGAAATGGAGAGTTTACCAGGGGCTTGGGGATCAGTTTCTTCAAATTATTTCATTCGTGATTTCATAGAGTTTGAAAAAACCATAAAGGAATTAGAAGCTGATGGAGAGGAAATGGCGACAGGCAAGTTATCTTCTTGTGAAAAGTTATATGAATTTTCCATCATTTTAAGACGATAATAGCACACTGAACATGAACGATATAAAAGCGTTCATTGAGTGGCCGGAATACGAATACTGGAGAGGTTTTCTGAGAACACACGTTGATAATAAAACGTTAGTTATCGTATATACTTTGGTCTCATGTCGTTTCTTTTCAGCGGCACTACAGTGCTTGATAAATTCTTCTTGACAACAGCATTTCGTGGAGAGTATTTGAAAGAATGGGTTAAACGAGCGGTAATGCTCCGACAATGGAGAGCTGTTGTAGATAAATACAGGTATCATACTCTGTCCTTGAATGATTTCAATCGATTTCCTTCAGTCCGGAATTCAACATTACTGTCTTCTCGGATGACGGAATCTACTTGGATTTGATTGACAATATGCCAACTGATACTTGGCAGGTAATTAGTTAAACGGAAATATATTTATTAATGTTCTTCTTAAGTCTGCCGTTGCTACCATTGGATGCATGGCACTTATATGCTTCATTTTCATGTACGACATGTTTACAGTGATAGTGGCCACAGGAGTAATAACATCCATTATGGCTGGTGAGTGTTGTAGAGAAACGAACATTGACATAGATTTCAAGGCATATTGGGAATTTTATCATGGACGGGAACAGAATTAGATCCAATTGTAATGGCAGCACTGATCATATCTATCGGATTCTCAGTAGACATACCAGCTCATGTGAGCTATCACTACCATACAGCAGGTGAGTATGATCCAGTTCAACAGAACGGTTGCATTCTTCTTATACAACGTATTCATTGAAGGAAAGCATGGCAGAAAGACTGTAAGGTCTCGTCTACACTACTGCATTTCTTCTGTAGGATTTCCTGCTATTCAAGCATCAATAAGTACAAGTCTCTGCGTCCTTTCTCTCTTATTTGTCTCGATATATATGTCTCAGGTAAAGAATGGTATTAGCTGGTAACAACATACACACAATTCCAGGTGTTCGTTAAAACGATGATATTATGTATGGCTCTTTGCGTGGTTCATGGATTATTATTAATACCCTGCCTCTGTTCACTTTTGTCGCTTGATACAAAAGTGGAAAAAGAGCAGAATAATTCTTCTGCCTTGCAAGATATGCATCCGAAAACCATTGATGGTATGATCTCATCGAAGCATTAATATTACTTTTATGTTTTTATGATTAATGTCGAGTAAATATTGAGTTAAAATTCCACTATTTCAAACGGAAGAGTGCTCAATGGCAACGAAATGAAACAACATCATGATCAAAAAATTCTGAAATGCTTGATTTCGTTACAAGCATGTATCCAACACACTTGAAAGTTGGAACATACATAAAGAATCTAGTTCTTAGTACGTACAACTACAATTACAAAGTTGTTTCAAAGCAAACATAAATTAAAATATAATAATTCTTCAAGAGGTTAGTAACCAGAAATGTAATTGAATGAACCTTCGTTTTAATGCAGTGGGCTATTTATACAACAATATTGTACTGCGCAAAGTTTCATTGACCAAAAATGATGCTTTCCCCTTTATCTTTCTCTTCCAAATCTATTGTGTTACTATCGTTGGCAACATCGAGCAGCTTGTTGCTCTTAAGTCTATTTAGCGTTCTCATTATGACAGAGCATATACATGATTTTCATACGGAAATGGAGGATAATCTCAGAGACTTCAAAGTCAATATTCGCATAAGTTTCTTCAACTGCTTCCCTCATTCATTTACAGTATTGGACAAACAGAGCTTCTTTGGAAATGACGAGTTCATCTATGCGTCAACCCAGATCTATTAACCACCATTTTGTTAACAGCGCTGATTTTACTTCGGGAGATGCGTATAGGTTTCAAACTTTTTTTGGGAAAGTTCCAAGGAATGCTGATATAGGCCTCCTAATCCACCTTATGCCCAGGAAACATTCACTGAAGGAATGGTACATTCTATAGTTGAGACACAATGCAGTAGCTTTCACAAACTTCCTGACTTAATATTAACTAAATGAATTAAGATTGTGCTGCAAGAGCTCAAGTTTGTCCTCCAGGCCCGCCAGGTCCACCTGGTCTTGCTGGCACACCTGGAGGTGAGTGTATCATTTGAATATCTTTAATTTCAAGTGTTCTACAGAGCTTGGAATGCCGGGCATTGATGGAAAACCAGGCTTAAACGGTGTTTCCATAATTTCCACCTACGCAGAAGAAGAAGAAACGGAAGGATGTATTATGTGTCCATCTGGACCCCAAGGTCCACATGGTCCTCCGGGACCGCAAGGACAGCCGGTCAGTTTCATCTGAATCACACTAATCACGAGAAATAGGGCAGAGAAGGTCTGAAAGGGCGACCAGGACCACTTGGCCCTAGTGGAGCTGAAGGGCTTCCAGGACCTATGGGTGATATAGGACCTCCAGGTTCTCATTGTATTGCTATATTTTCATAACTAAGTATGATTCAGGCAGAATGGGATCTACTGGACCTGTAGGTGAACCAGGACAGGATTCCGTAAGATTAATAGGGCTCCCAGGCCCTGAAGGAGAGCTTGGTCTACCGGGACCCTTAGGACCTACTGGTCCTCCCGGCCGAGACGGCAAGCCTGGTTTCCCAGGTCGATCAGGCCCACGTGGTAATCAGGGACCTCCAGGAAAAAAAGGAGACGATGGAGAGATCGGATATGTAAAACAAAACTAAAGAACTTTTGATCATATCAATACCTATTAGCCTGGTATGCTTGGAAGTCCTGGAAAAGATGCCTCATACTGCCCTTGTCCGCCAAAAACTAGAGCACAAGCTGAACTCTCATTCCAAGAAGAGGAAGACGCTTTTGGTAAGTAGCAGTTACACACCTCACGTTGTAATTGCAATTGTTCTAGTTACACCTCCTTCTTCGTCTAATGTGAAAAGGGAAGATTATAGAAGAAAGTAAGTAATAATTTTCATAACAAGCTAACTTCTGTTCAAGATTAATCGCTAGATTGGTAAAGAAACGTCGCCTGGCAGCCCTCAAAGCAGCTCGTCAAGTAGTGTGAAAGAAATTGGATTTAAACAAGGAAAGACAAAGCGAAATTGTCAAATAATAAAATAGTTGCTTGCTCCCGTGTCTTATTCATTATCATGCATGAGAAAAATGTAAAACTCTTACAAACTAACTTGATGATGTTGTGATGGGGATAAATTTTGTTTAACCGTTCTAGTGTACTCATCGTTTCGAAAACACCTTATTTCGTTCCGTTTTTTTGCTGTTCAGAATAATTTTTAGATAAGCCTTCCGAGTTTCAAATTGACTCTGTAAGTATTTGAACTCCTTTATCAACGATTAATCTTTTAGAACTTATGTTCTTTGGAACAGAGTACTTTGAGTGCAACCTCTCAAATCTCTCCCACACTAAAGACACACATATATACAGAGGACAAACCAAGGGCAACACATGAATTTTACATTTCAGCATAAGAGTGAAATAAAAGAAAATTACGTAACTGGTGCTGTTATGAAATTTGCGAACGTCAGCAAAGAAGTTAAATCCCATCTGGTCTCTATCTACTGCATTCAACTATCACACAGCTATCGACGTTTATATATAAAGCTATTTCCTATTGAATTCAAGAGATTCAAGCGTACACAACAGTATTTTATTGGAGCCACTTAGCCTCAACTCGATTTCCAGTCAGTACCTCCCCGAACTACGCATTAATGCAAAGCAATTAGGGGGATAATTTTTTATACATTTTTATCATAGCTTTAAAACTCATAATAGAATGATAACAATAACAGTAACAACAAACACCAACTTACTATTTGTCAACGAGCTCTAACTTTTGTAAGTGTAAGAAACAGACAGGAGCAACGTCATTATCGTCATGTACTATGATCTGCAAAAGCGAATGTTCTATTACAATTCGTTATTTGGAAACACCTCTTTTTCGACAATGCAGATCTTCCTTTTGAATAAAGGACAGTCCAATACAAACGTCTCATACTCTCCTCCTTCTCCACATGGATGAACGCCAAATTTGTCGTTCAACTTCAAGAGTGTTGGTTCAATCTTAACAACACAGTGTTCAACGATCGAGAGGTTCTATCCCTCACCTGCGCCAGAGATAACCCTAAATGTGAACTATTCAAACCAACTGCTGCAACTTTGAGAATGATTGCTTCTACTTTTCCTTCAATCATTTCATGTAAGAGTTCCTGAATATATGATATTCATCTGAACATTTCTGAAATGAAAACCTTCTGCTCTCTCTCCCACAGATAGCAAAGAGGAACTAAGCCTAGTCGTTGGCAAACATTCTCAACACGCAACTTCTGGTAAGTTGACAGAATCGCTCCAGCGGACACACCTGAATATTACGATGAACGATCGACATTTTGCTTCAACACATACCTTGTACAGAAGGATGTTTTTCTTTTATTTCCTTCAAAAGGCTGTATAAATCTTCCACTTCATCTCCTTCAGTAGGCTAGCATTGAGTTTATATCAAATTAATTATGAAACAATACCTCATAATCGTAATTTTGATTGAGAGAACCTCCGCTGATAACTTTTCTGTATAGAGGTAATTGCATAGCTTCGCCATATAACTAGATTTCCATAGAGAGAAATGTTATGAAAAACCTACAGCTACTCCTTCAGCTCCTACACTCTGGTACATGAAAGAATCTAATTCGGTTTGTGGTGTTGGAGGAAGCAAGTTCGCTAGAGCGACTATTCGATGACCATGTTCTTGGGCACACATCATATTATAGCAGCTATCTTTCCCTCCAGAAACTAGTCCAATTACGTCCATCTAAATTTCGGTTTGTATAACTTATAGACGATCTGAATAAACATGAGGCAAGCCTTTATATCCCGATAGAAAAATAGAACTATCACAAAGACATTTATTAGGAACAAGCGTATATATGATACATCATTCTTCAATATAATACGCTAAGGCGAAAAGATTGACCTGGCAATGTCTGTGACAGAAGAACAGAGGAAAAAAAGAGCAAAAATCTGTTATAAGCATAGCACTAATGAAATTATATTATCTACACATTGGAATCCAAGTGATCAGAACCTCATTGAAATATAATACACACAAATGATTCAAGAAAGATATGACAACTCCTCACGCGTTTTCTCCTTATGATGAGCAGCAAGCTGCTCAGTAGCAAAGTTAACATATTGTTGATGTTGCTCTGAAATATTAAAAACATGAGCAAGAGACTATAACTATATTGATATACCGTCTAATTTTTGACAAAGAGCAGACTCGTATTCCTGACGTAGACGCATTTCTTGTTCCTTAAGGAGACGCTCGCAGATCAGTTGAACCTGAAAAAATGATGATAAGCATGACGAAATATTCAAGAAGCCACGATACCTGCTTCAAACTGAATTGTGGCTTGTCAGCAAGTGTAACTAAAATGTTGTTAGATTGTTTGGATGTCGATGTTTCGCCATCTGAATCAGATCCAGACTGAAATTTGTAATGTATAACAATAACAAAAAATTGCTTCTTACGTGGCTTGGTGATTCAGGGGCTCTATACTCCTTGTTTGGCTTGTTTTCGTCAGTAATATCATCTGTTACAGTTTTTCTAGGGATAAGTTTTCTCCTCTTTAGGTTCTTAATCTCTGATCTTAAATAAGCCCCAAGCTGAGAAGAGGTTAACTGACAACCCGTAATAGATGAAAAAGGATTGTTGGATTCTTGCTGAAATAGACAGAAAATAAAATTTTTCTCTCTCTGTTGTAACTTACATTTTGAATTTTTTGAGCAAAATTACTACTTGTAGAAGGAAGGCTCGCAGCTATAGTTCCAATCTGAGCTCGGAAAGGGGAACAGTGAGCAGTCTGTCTTGCTCGCTTTGCTTCGCTACTGTAACCATCCTCACTCATGTAGGAATCATACTCGTGAGGCCTTTTTAAGGCTAATCCACATGCCATGATTCTAAAATGAAATTATAATGCGAAATTCTCGAGATTAAAGAGGAGAACCTTGAAGATGAAGACATAACTTAGGACAAAACTACGACCCGTTAAATAAAAGAAAAATTTGAAAAATAATTTTTGACGCCACGTAGTGCGGTGTATTGCAACGTGACGCGCGAGAAGATCATGTGAGGAGGAAAATACAAAAAGATCAAATAGGAAAAAGCTTGAAAAGGTTAGAATATACTTTATATCAAAAGATGAAACTACAAAATTTTATCTAACGAAGGAATATCTGAGGAAAACCATATTCGAATCAAAACGTTAAACAACGAAAGTCGATATCAATCGCAGACGCACATTGGTGGGCGGAGCCTATGTGATTGTTGCCTGCAAATCTTAGAACTGCCGCGTTTTCGAATTTTAGCAATGGAGCGCACTATCCTTTGCGCTGAAAAAAAAATTGTTTTGGAAAAAATGTATGTAGATGTAAATTTATGATGGGAAAGGCAGTTGACATGATGTTTATCGTGCGTTAACTATATTGAAAAGTGCTTCTGGGGAAGACAAAATATTATTTAGAAAGAAATAGCAATAAATTGGGCAAGTTTACCGAAAATCACATGATCTACAACGTAAACATCAATACTGCCAAGATCAAGAATACGGGGTGGGTAAAGTGGCAATCGCTGGTCTGGCAGTTGTCATTGCTGATATGAAAGTAGCAGTTTGAATTTCTTCAGCTTTTTAAATTTATTTTTCATAACAATCAAGTGAATTTCAGTTAAAATGTTGGGGAAACTCTTCATTCTAGCCTTTTTCGGGTTGCTGATGGCCTTTACTTTACAAGTTTTGTAAGATTTACTTTATGCTGTAAAGAAGAAAAGATTTTTCTTATAGCCTCCATATGGGGGTAAACAAGCGTGTTTATAATCATCGGCCAGGTCATTGCGAGGAAGTTAAAGGAATCAGTTGAGTTTATATTTATTTAACTTCAAAGAGCATAAATATCTTCATAGAACATGGTTCCGAAGACATTGTGCTCATTGAAAGCTTGGGAATTGCATTCATTTCATCTGGTCTCTTTTACATGTATGAAAGAGATAGTGATGTTCGAGGAAAAATTTTCTCTTACAATTTCTCTGAGACAGAGATCAAAGCAGATGAAGTGCCGATCAGAGGATTTGCTAGATTGGTGTGTTCATTTTCATTACTTAGTTTATCATATGAATGATTGGAGGAGTCTTTCCGGCCCCATGGACTCTCATTCATTGAGGCAGGCGGAGTATTACGTTTATTCGTCATAAACCATGAGTATCCTTCCTTCACTCACAGTGTGGAAATTTTCCGTTATAATAAACAGAGAAAAGAACTTATATTTGAGAAAACGGTCAAAGACGAAAAGTTTATTAGGTATAAAACTTGAATTATAAATGTTATTTAATTGATTGTTAGGCCGAATGATTTGGTAGCCATTTCTGCTGATTCGTTCATTTTATCGAACGATGGCTACTCGCAAACATCGTTCGGAAACGTGTTCGAGGCTCTTTCTGGGGGTAGGTATGGGAGCATTGTTTATTTTGACGGACAAGTAATTCGATATCCCTCTTTTTCAAATATTTAATTTTTTCAGAATTCTCATTACATTCAAGAAAGCTCTGTCTCTCCCAATGGGGTCATTCTCGACAGAACACGAAAATTCCTTTTGGTTTCTCACATAAACAACAAACTAATTGCTGTTTATAAACTAGGAGAAGTAGAGAAACTCTGATGCATTTTCTAAAAGTTGATTACCGCAGGGTTTTAAATCTTTAGAATTGGTTCAAGAAGTACCGTTGGATACACTAGCTGATAATATGTTTATCGACAATACAGGCGCTGTCTGGCTGGTACTTTATAAACGAGAAGTTTAATGGAGTATTGTTTGAAATTTGAGGGAGCTCATCCAATACCGAAAGATGCAGCTGGACATATGGCCAGTAGTGATGACCTTACACAATATGGGCCATCCCAGGTATGATAGTCGGCTGTCTGAGCAACATGTCTTTTCAGATACTACGAATCGATTTTTCGAATGATTGGAAGAATTGGGAGATTACAGAAATATATTCAGATGACGGACGTCAATTATCCGCCAGTAGCATTGCAGTATATCACAAAGATCAAATCTTGATGGGATCAGTATTCCGTCAGCTTGTTCATTGCAAAATTTCTGATAAGAAAGTGCTGCGCGCGCGTAATTGAAAACTATAACCCTCTTATAGCATTTTCTATTTACTCTTATTTTAGAAAGATTTTAAATAATTTAATTCTAAAGATGGTTTATAAATGTACAATTTCTTATACTAGTGAGTTTATGTTATTTGGGGATTAATAACATCGCAAATCAACAGACGTGCATCTTGTCCACCTATTAATAATCGATTTGCTGAGAAAACCTGAAAAAAACTTATCATCTTCAGTTAACAACGTAAACCACGTACAACTGAAGAACTAGCAGAGAGTGTAGCCCCATCATTCGAATAAGGTTCGGTGATTACCCAAGATAATTGATCTTTCTGTAACTTCCGTAGTTGGCGAAGATTTATGAATTTTGAAAGAAAACCTGTATGCGCACTCGCAGTACTTGGCTTGGAGATACTTTCTTCTCTTCCATTGCTCTATTATATGTCCAATATTGATGTAATACAGGATGAAGTGAGGCCCAAAGATCACCTTAAATTTGATAGAAAAACATTTCGATATCTCTCCCAGTGTTACCCGAAGATGATTCCACATATAACCCAGACGGAGATGAGAGTAGAGCGATTTCAGTTCGGTAAGTAAGAGACAGATCTTTATCCAGAGAATACATCTTAATATTCTAAAAAAAAATGCTATCGCTTGATAATCAACTCTATTACTGACCTCTGACATCATCGAAGCAATATACAATAGATTTCGTTTAGAGTCAACAGTCATCGCGGAAGGAGATTGTAAACCGCTCTGTATGAGGGAAGCATGATGTCCGTTGAAATAATAAAGACATCCGAATGAATTCTGTTAAGAGAATAACAGCGTCAAATGATATCAAATATTTATAATTCGAACTTACAAACAATAATAGTTCGACAGTTTGCAACCAACCGTCATCAAACCAACTCTCTCGTGATACGAAGAATTTGTCTGGCCCGACAACTGCAATGTCAGTCAAACTGCAAATGCCTCATTGGATTTGTCAAAACAGGAATGTATACCTTACGAATGAAGATTCGCAGATACTTTTTCTGTGTATGAGGAGACTCTTGTCACGATTATATATTAAGACTTCAACGCAGTTCTGATTTATAACATACAGAATAACGCGTCCTTTACTTTCATACAATGAAATCGCGGATGGGTGAAAGTTTTTCTGAATACTTTGTTGTTGATCATCAGATCTAACAAACTTACGGCATCAAAATCCTTCCCTTGGATAAGAAGTTCTTGAGGCTTTGTTCCGGGGTTTTCCTCTTTCGATTGGTAAACATAAATTCTTCCTTTTGTTTCTTTTCTCTTGCCTGACACTATAAAAACTTCGCCTGTGTTTTCAAGCAATTGCATCGCAGGGGCGCCATTGTCTTCAAAAATTTGGTAAAAAAAAACAATTTTTTTCTCAAAAATCTACCCATATCTTCCATAAACTTACAATGACCAGGGATGTGATTATAGGAGCGTTTATTGAAATCGAAAATAAGCCTGGAAAATATTTTTACACACTGTGCTAAGAATGTAAATTTTTTCAACTTACATTATTTTAATTGAGACGCTGCAAATCAAAACTAATAAAATCCACATAGCCATCCGGTGAGCCAGTTCTTTAGGGTTCGTCGGTAACATTTTTACAAAATATTAACAGAAACTGAGAAGATGTTAAAATGCTGTTGGGTAAAGCTGCTATTGGAAGTATTTAATGCGATCGATATGTGAGCAACCGGGAAACCATTGTACTCGAGGGAGACAGATGGTCGAGAAAGTGCTGATCGATACATATTGAAATATTAATTGACCTCCAGTTTGAATACCTACAACTCATACAAAATGAGCTGAGAAATCGAAGAAAAGGGAAAACGTTTAAGAATTAGGTAATGTAACAGGTTGTACAGACCGCGTCCGCGAATTAGCATGAAATTAGCATAAATGGTCCTATCGCGAGCGCTTCATGATCGCTATTCAAACTGTGATACGAAACGAGATTATTTCAATCTGAGTGTTTCCAGGATGGTGCTGAATTATCACATTCAAATTAATATTTACGGAGATTCTCTCATTAAGATTGTCCACGAAAACATAAGTTTGGAAAACATTTTGGTACTTTGATATGGTATTTCAACGTTCACGTTTTACCTTAGAAAAAAAATGGGATAAATGAATTTGTCATTGTTGAAATACCTCATCAACCCATTGCGCCATCGGTTCAAGAAAAAGTACGGATAGTAACGAATTTTGAAAGGGAACAAGTCAACAAAAAAGAAGAGGAAGAAGAGCCAGTGGAAGAGTACATTTTTCAAGATCCAGGCAGTGTGGCTAATTGGTACTGTTCAACCCCATTACACGCTAACAGCGAACCGCCTGTTTTGGAAAAAAGTATTCTTTGAAATCTCTTCATGTAATTTGATTTCATTGCAGCGGACTATCTACTTGAAGAATCTAGCAGCCAGCATAGCTCGAGCAATGAAGTCCATTCCGCTGTTTTGGGAACAGTGGATAATATGATTTCGTTTGTCGAGTCCTGCGCGGAACCGACCGAAGAGTTGCTAGACGAATGCTCGCTTTTTTCTGGTAGTGCAAGTTGTCCCAATGTTATTAGCAAGCCCAATGAAACAGAGCCCTGTCACAAAGAGGTGTAAGTAGCAAATAGAAGTTCTGTTTTCAAGTTTGATATCTAGGTTTGCCACGAAGATTGAAAAATCAAGTAATGTTAAATGCGGAGTCATTGTGGATATGGATAATTCCTTCCAGTCGTGTACCTCAGCACTCGGTTACCCTTCATTAAAGGTTCCAATCAGGAGTCTATAAATTTCAGTTGGCTATAAGGAAAAAAATATGGAGCCGAACAACCAAACCACTGATTCCAGTATGCTTCGGGACATGCGTGACGCTATGGATTTAGGAAACACAACAGGTATGTTGCTATGTTCGAACATTCAGCCTTGTTGAAACTCTAATTACCTTTTTTCCTTCAGAGTCACCAAATGAAAGCTTGCAGACATTAGAGTCTTCCTTTTCTGAGAAGTTAGGATATTTTTTGATTAGTAATAGTTCGCTCTGTTTCCAGTGAATCTCGAGGTCATCCCGTACAAAATTTCACATGTCAATACTCTGTAAGTGACGAGTGTGAATGAGCAGTTATCTCCTTCTTATTAGGATTGTCAAAGGAAATTGAGAGTCAGCTGGAAGAAAGGATATGCTGGACTGAGAGAACATGTTCGTCAACACACCAACGAATTAATAAGATCATGTATGCATTGCCAGTATGGCTTCCGCACATTGTATCAAGTACAGTCTGGTTACATAATTTCTAAAAACTAATTCATATTTCAGTTACGGAAACATCATCAAGCTTATCACAGCGATATTCGATTCCGTATACCTAAAACTACTCATGACGACAACGTAATAATTCACAAGCTTTTAGCTGTCTGTTTCCCCTCAATCTTCACGAACAAGTTCGTCTTTTCTATTATACCATAAAAGCATCTTTTTTTCAGTCCCGGGCCCGTTACTACCTTGCCGGGTTATGTTCTTACACCCAGTGGCAGGATGAGAAAAGTGGATGGCAGGAGAAAATGAGTTTATTTGTACAAATTCTGATTTTGTTTCTATGTTACTTTTTATGTGAAATTTCTCGAAAGTCTGTTTCTTTACTTTGTCTTTGAAGTTTTCGATCGGCGTTACTATTGTGAATTGCTACTCATCTTTTTCTTCTCATCTTCAGTTCATATGACGGTTACTACACATAACCCTTAGTGCTACTGAGAAATCCTTACTACCGTGTCCAAGGAACATTTATTGTTATTTCTTAACAGCAATGCTTTGAGTTGACTCAAGAACTATTTAACTGAAAGATTAATCTCGTTTGTGAATTTAATTAGTATTTATTATTTGTTCGGGAAACCGTGATTCTGTCAAATATAAATCTGTTTTTTTTTGGATTTATTATGAATTCCATGAACCGCTCATTAGCGTCAATGAAAGAGAATGAAAAGCATGACAACCAACCGCTCTCTGATCTATGAGAGAAGGAATGAACCACTCTTGAACCAACTTCTTACAAGTATCAAGCTCTATCTATGGCAGTAAAACAAAAATAAAAACAGTGTTAGAACATAAGAGTAATCCGGTGATGGTTGTTTCATCACTCTATAGTATTTCTACTTTGCTTTTAGGGATATGTTTGTTAGTTTTACAGTTCGTTTTACAATTTCAATAGACAACGATATGGCACCCAGACGTAGGGCAGGGATAACAGAATATAGGTGATCGTTGATGATCAATTTCAATCTTGCATGGGTTGCAATACTGAGGGTTCGCATGTAAATCGCGCAATGGGTTGAAGGTTACAGCTGATTGCGTGAGCAATACAAAAGAACGTGCTTTCAATATCAAAGTGATGATTTTTTTTGTCATTTTTGCAGAATAAACGGAAAAGGTAACGACAATAGAAAGATTTTTAAAACATAGCGTCTAACTATCACATATTGCTATCTATCCACATAGTTATGTATAGATAAGAAGAGAATTTGCTTTCATTTTATTCAAGGCATATAAAGGTAGTCAAATCAGGAAGACGACACATGTCTTTCTATGCATCAGCCCATTTATTCCTTTCGTAACGATAGAAAGAACATGCTCATCACTTAAGCTAACTATGTCATCCAAGATTGGTACTCATTGTTGTTTTTTTCCAAAAAAATACTTTTTTTTTATCATTTTCAACTGATAAAAAGTTTTTATGTACTTTTGGCTATAAGTTTCTTTTCACTAAAAGCTTCCATGCGGTTTTCTAATCCTTTCTCATTTTGCCTTATACGTACATATAGTTAGTTAATCGTCAGCATGCTTCTAACCGTCTCATAAGTTCTTATCTATTTTTATAAGAATTATAGTGGTCTTTCGTCGATTCCTTCTTTTTTTTATGTGTATTAGCATTTCAGAATAGACGAATAGTTAGTGGTTAGTAAATTATGCCTAAAATTAGAAAATGTGACTGGATTTTATTCATCATTGCTGTCTTATGCGCAGTGGCATCAATTGTCACATGGGTCACCTTCCCAATTATTTATCCTAACTCAGTCAAATCGGTATGACTATTCAAAGCATTCAACAACGAGAACCTGTTTTCAGCATTTACAATTTAAACAGAATAAAGATTTCAGCTTAAGCTTATCTGCTTGGCTATTCTCACATCCACCAATTACAAATGTGATGAACTTTTATTTTTTCAATGTCACAAATCCCGATGAAATGATTTACGCTGGAGCAAAGCCAATGCTCATCGAAATAGGTCCTTATGCTGTCATGTAAGATATTTGCCTTATATGGGTTCTCTAGAAACATCATCTTCTTCAGTGAGACAGAAGAAAAGAAGTATTTGAACTTCTCGAAAGATTCAACCATGGTTTTCTATCAAAATTATAAAAAATATGTGATTCATAAGGAACTGTCGTGTCCTGGATGCTCTTTCGATTCCATCTTCACCATCCCAAATCCGCCTGAGACGGCAAGTTTTTTTTCTCCAAATTTCAATATCAGCGAAAATATTTTATCAGTTGATAGTTTGGTTGTTAACTATGTGAAAGAGATAAAAATTTAAGGGAGCTGCCGCTGATATGTACAACCCGAGGTATAATGTCACACCAACAACTCGGATCATCATAGCAGCCTCATTGCTTTTACTTGGAGAATATCCATTCATGTACATTCATTTATCTGTTTTCTGCTTTCTCAAGCTTCATTTGTAATGGTCTATTTGTAAATTTACATCCTTTTCAGCAGTCAATCAGTCGGAGATATTCTGTTTGATGGATATGACGACGCTTTGTTATCTGCCGCCCATTCGAATGTTGGTTTTTCAAGAATTTCAAGCTGAAAACACTTAATTATATTGAATTATTATAATGTACTACAGATAGTCAACATATTGACTGGGCTGAATGGAGGAGTGACGGTCATACCCATTCCAGTACCTGCCATGCCACGTATGGGGTTTTTCCAAGGAGTAAGTCAAAAAACAGGAAGGAAGTAACCAACAAGTATTTCTTAAAGTATAACAATACCAACGATGAAAGCTATTGGGTGAAAACAGGAAAAGAAAATATAGATGAAATAGCAAAAGTTGTTACATGGGCTAATGTAAGTTCTTTGCCACAATCGTGGTGGACAACTGATTATGCTCGAAGTATTCGTGGATCAGGTATACATCCTTAGGGGGGGATGCTTCAGTTAAAATTACTTCTATTCAGATTCGGCTAGCTTCTCCAAGATGCATTTAAAGAAAACTGATATTATCGAAGGATTTCAGTCATTCCAATGCCGTTCATTTAATGCAACATACTTGAAAGAAGAAACTGTCCATAACATTCCTGGCTGGATGTGATGCATGTCTCGAATCTCAAAACTAATTAGAATATTCAGATACTCTGTTCCATATGAGGAATATGATACAACATCAGATCAGAATAGAGGATTCCGATATGAAAACAGTGAAAAAGTCAACTATTACCCTGATTGGCCGGCCTGTCCACAGTTCGTTTTGAAAAATATTTTTCGAAACTTTCATTTTGAACTTTCTTATTTTTAGAAAAAACAGCAGTGAATGTGCTCAACATGACAAAGTCGATTGCTCAGCTTCCATAAACTTTTGTCATAATTGTTGCGAAAGATCCTTTGTGAACGGGACTTACCTGCTCCCACCTGGAATGTTTCCGCTCGTTTGCTATCCTGGTATGACCGAGCGAAGATAAAAGAATGCTAATGAGGGTTTTTTTTTAGGCAGATTACAACCATCTCCTTTCTCAGTCATGTACTCTCCCCCACACTTTCTTTATTCGCCACCTGAAGTCATCAATTCTGTATATGGTTTAAACCCATCGTATGAGAAGCATTTGCCAATGCTGTACACCCACGAACCTGTTAGCCGTTTTTATACTATTCATATGAAATTAAATTTTAATTATTACAGTACTCAGGAACAGTTTTAAAGGTTATATATCAATTAATGGTCTCAACACCAGTTTTTGCCAATCCGATCGTTGTGTAAGTGCCATTCTGTCTATTTCTATATAAAGAGCTGAGGGAACGAGATGCAGCAACATAATGGCTTAATTTGTCTTTCCAAATATTTGTTACCTTTTTTTTCTTTTTTTTTTTCTAACCTGGGACGTCATCGGTTGTCTCTTCTCATTTTTCCTCAGATTCCTTTCATACGTTATTACTTTCCCTGGATGTCTCTTTTGGACCCTCCCTCACTCCATCCTTCATCTTTCCTTTTCTGTCTGCTTTCCCCTTTATTACTTAGTTTCAGCTTAAATTTCTGACTTTTTCTTCTAATAGCTTGTCGTTTCTCTTTCTATTACGATTCTCATTCTCGTCTTTCTCATAATTTCACTCATAATTCCCACATGCAAATGTTGCGCAGTTTCGAACGACGTCATGAAAAATAATTGATCTTGTCCTGTGCATTTATATTTCCGTCATTTGTTCTCTTAAGCTACATGTACAAACCAGAAATGGGATAGAGTAGGGGTGAGCCAGGAGAAATTCCCATACTTGTCATGATTTTTGCAAAATCGCACGTGAGACGTTGAAGAAAAGCTTATCCAACAACCGTTTTTTCCATTAAAGACCTTTTTGCAGCACAAACATGCATCTGCCGAACAGCATTGTTCCCATGTTTTGGCAAGGAGCCAATGCCATCTTATATGACAGTGTCTACAACGAAGTTTGGTTAGGCTTCGTGCTTGTCCCTAAGCTGGTCGACGGAATCAAATATTTCTTATTAGCTTTATCACTATTTATAATACTAGTAATTGCATTTTTGCTTTTCAAACGACGTAAATCAAAAGCTGGTGATATGGAAGACACGATGGTGACGCTCTAAGTATCATTAGTTCATCAGGAATCACACATGACTTTTCTAAGCTTTTTATCTTTCTATCTCTACCTCTCTCTCTCTCTCTCTTTGTTCATTTTTTAACTCTTCCCCTCCATTAATTTATTCATTTTATATACTGACTATGCTATTCATGTCCTTAATTTTTATACTTAATCATCAATTGGGTGCTTTTGTTTAAAAGCATTCAAAGTTTTTTCGTCTGAAACTATCAATGGTCTCGATCATAGCCAAACAAGCCACAGCCACCTTATCGCTGCTTTTCACTTAATTCACCTCCCCGTTCCATTAAAACCCTTCCATCGTCGTCTTCTTTTCATCCTTTCTCTCAAAATTACTTTGTTTTCACTCATTTTCTTCATTAACCCTTTCCATAATTTTTATTTTTTTTTTCACACAAAAACAACCTTTGATCATCTTATTCCTTTTCTCCTTCTTCTTCTTCTTCTTCTTCCAAATCACATTCGGCAATGTTCACAGCCCAAAGTTAAACAGTCTGGACATACTGTTGTTATCATTCTGATTTTGCTAGTTAATCTCACCCTCTTATACATTCAGCTTTATTTCAAAAGCTCATTTCTCATTTTTGTTTCCTCTCAACAACACTATTCTCTTTCTGTCTCATTCTCTCTCTCTATCTATATATCCATCTTTCTCTCTCTCTCTTCTTCTATTCAAATGAAACTTTTATTTTTTTGTATTTTTTTTGCTATTTCAATTCGCTCCATTGATTTATAAGAAATAAATTGTTTGTTTATATGCAAAATACATGAAACATACAAAATGCTTTTGGATTGGAGAGCCTTCAAGATATTCGAACAATATTTTTCAGCCTTCAACCTCTGGTTCAATAGATAATGAATGCTAATATATTTGTTAAAAATTAGCATAAATCCTGATGAAGAAAACATAATCGCTTTACTTGCTCAAAACTAACAATTATACTTTGAAAATGCAGCTTGATTAGCATACAAACTTACACGTGAAGACGCGTTGAACATTTGATGCATCAGTTGGAAGCTCTAGATAGCGCTCTGAACGGTTGTTCTTTAGTTTTCATCTCAATTTTTGTCTCAAAAAATAATTTTTTTTTGTTTTCTTTTTCAAATATCTGAAAGTTTGTAATGTGAACGTTTGTGTATAGTCGAAATTGTACTTTTTTTACCTTCAGGGAATGACTAATTATCCTTTTTCATAAAGCTCCACCCCTTTTTGGAAAAATTTTTCAATTCATTTCTGATTCAAAATTTGGTTGTTTAAATATTAATTCTTTTATAGACTTGAAGCTTTTCATCTTTTTGTGGCGTTCATCTTCATCTTTCTTCAATTCTCTCATTCTTTATCTTCTTCCTGTTAGAAGCATTTCCCTCTCTCTCTCTCTCTCTCTCTCTCTCTCTCTCTCTCTGTTCAACAACCACTATGTATAGATGTGTTTGGTGTGTACGTGTATGTGTATGTGAGTGTATGCATGTGTGTGTGTGTTTCCTTTTTTATATGAAAAGAATTAATTATTTCATTCATTTATGTTTTATTTAATAATCTTAAATATTTCATTCAATCATTGAAAGTACTTTATTTTTCTTTATTTTTCAAACAATTATCTGAAATTGTCAAAAGGAAACGCAATTCATTCAGCTCATTTTTGATCTGAAAAGAATTTAAATTTTCTATTTTTCTTAGTTTATTTGTACTTTTTCATATTAAATAAAAACATTTTTTAGATATACATATATATATATATATATATATAAAGATCTAAGAGAAGAAACCGATGAAGATGACGGATGAGACGAAAAGGCATTTCATACTCTCATATAATCCGTCTGTTGGCTATTTCATATCAATTTCTTTTCGTTTTCCAAGATGCATTTGAATTCGGATCAGTTAAATCCGTTTTTTTGCTTCTCTCATCACAGATCTGATCTTATATTTCACATTTCATTTTGACATTCATACTATAAGTGAAGCTTCCAGGCCAAAAGCTTCCGAAACTTGCCGGACAATCGCCTGGACTTGCCATATCAACTTTCATTCCATTTTCAAATATTTTTTTGTTCCAAAAACTGTTCCAAGCTTAAACACTGAAGAATCTCACGACGACCATTTTCACTTCTCCTCCTCTCTTTCTTTTTATGTCATATTTGTGATCAGAACGCCTTGAAAGTTGTCTGTTTTCTCGTCTTCACGTATATTGTCCACATAAAAGATTACTCAGAAGCTTTTTCTTATGTCAGAAAGATGGCTTCTCATTCTCTCTCTCTTCTTCTCACTCTTCCAACATTCCTATTAACCAAGTGTGGATTTTAGAGCTCAACACTTTTGTTTATTTGTGTTTTTTCTTTGTTTTGATGATAAAAATGTTTTATTTCAGGTTTTTGGGAACAGAATGCCATTTTACTATCTGAGCTTTATCCTGATAGTCGTTTTCATTCCGGCAGTTACAGCTAATAGTGGTTATGATCCAGCTGTGGGACACGACACAGTATTTAAAACATTGCGAATGAATGAAGAAGAATTAAACCATGTATCTGCATTACAAGCTATTATGGATTATAATAAGCTTCATGACTTCGTCAATGTAAGATTTCACTTTTTCATATTTTCAATCATACGTCGAACGTAATGACTAAACAGATCAAAGTTTTACATTTGAGACTAGACATTCAACTCTAATAGTTTAACAGATGTGAAGTTTGAACGAGACAAACCGAATCATTCTAATCACCTCATAAAGTAGATCAAATTAATATTTAAAAATAAGTTTTTTGATCTACGCACACGTACCTTTTCAGACCAAATATCAAACAACTCCATTGACTGATGAAGAGCGAGAAGATGTTGAAAAGTATTTGGGAAATCGTCCGCCGTCCGTCGTGGACACTTTCTTGACCGACGAAGATCGCAAAAAGGTATATTTGGTTCTTTCTAAGGATATTCTCAGATTTCATCTGGGAATATCCGCATCAAAAGGGCAAAAGTTCATTTTTTTCATGAAAAAAAAACGAAAATGAAATCTTCTTCTTCTTTTTCTGTTTCTTAACGGAGAATAGTTATAGAAAGACAAGAAAAGTTTTTTTTTCCTTCTCTCTCTCTCTAACTCTCTCTCTGTTAAAAGTAAAAAAAAGACGAAATTCGATTGAAAAGAATACGTAATGAATGGCTTTTGGTATATTTTTTTGGAACAACATATGTAAATGAAATGAAAGAAGAAGAAGAAGAAGAAGACGAAGAAGAAGATAAAGAAGAAGAAGTAGAAGAAGTAGAAGACGAGGTATTTGCAGTTGTCGGAATTCCATAAGAGTCGATTGTTGGACAATATCTTTGCTGTTGTGCGTCAACGACTGTTTGAGCTCAAACCTTCGGATCGACGAACAGCTGTTAACTATATGTGGCCGAATGCTGATAATTTTATTCTTCAATATTTTGGTGTTGAGAAGTAATTTTGTTATAATTAAGTCTAATAATTATAAATAAAAAGGAAAAAAAAGGAAAGAAGATGATGAAAGATATATTTTTATTTAAAATATACATAGAAATTTGCAAACTATCATTGTTATAACATGTTTTTTGTACAATGTAAAACCCGATGACGTCTATGCACTTGAACGATTTCTTATAAAATATAAAATATAATATAATATATATATATATATATATACTGACAAACTAATAATATGAAATGATAGACGTATGAATAACAGTCCATCACTCTTCCCGTAATCTTAAATTCCTTGTTTGGGTTAGTGTTTAAGCATATTCATTAAAGATCATTCCATTAAAAGCTAATGCTTAAAGCATTTTTGAAAACAAAATGAAAATCTCTTGGGAGATTGAAACATAAAAAAACGATTTTGGGGGGTGTTAACGATGAAAATGAGAGAAAAGAAAAACATTTTGCTGCTGTTTCAGCCTAAACCCATATGATTTGGTCTTTTCGCTGATAATTTAAGTATTAAGCTAGTTAGGATGTTCCTCTTCTGATGAGCCGTCAGCATCCATGATCAACTGCATCTCCGGAGACGTTCGTGTTATCTTTTGCTCCTTCTGTGACACTAATACCTTTGTTGGAATGGTCACTGAACATGTCCGATCTGTTAGAGTTTACAGTTTTCTTTTATTTTTTATTAACACTCACTTGCTACATTTTTCTTCTCGCGTCTGAACAATGTTTGGAAAGCTTCCCGGAATCGAGCAGACATCAAATGATACAAAATCGGATTTATAGCGCAGTTTATGAAAATCATGGTCTTTGAGAAAAATATGTACCTGAAATCAGCGTTTTACTTATAGTATTCAAAGAACATTTTGTTTGGAAAAAAAGAAAAAAAAGACTCCGTCGAGCCGGATTCGAACCAGCGACCTAAGGATACCCACAACTCTACAGTCCTCCGCTCTACCAACTGAGCTATCGACGGGA